TTTATTTTATTTTATTTTATTTTATTTTATTTTATTTTATTTTATTTTATTTTATTTTATTTTATTTTATTTTATTTTATTTTATTTTATTTTATTTTATTTTATTTTATTTTATTTTATTTTATTTTATTTTATTTTATTTTATTTTATTTTATTTTATTTTATTTTATTTTATTTTATTTTATTTTATTTTATTTTATTTTATTTTATTTTATTTTATTTTATTTTATTTTATTTTATTTTATTTTATTTTATTTTATTTTATTTTATTTTATTTTATTTTATTTTATTTTATTTTATTTTATTTTATTTTATTTTATTTTATTTTATTTTATTTTATTTTNATTTAATTTTATTTAATTTAGATTAATTTAATTTTATTATACTATATTATATTATATTATATTATATTATATTATATTATATTATATTATATATATTATATTTTATTTTATTTTAAATTTTTATATTATTTTTTTATTTTATTTTCTTTAATTTCATTTTAATTCTTATTATTTTATTTTAATTTTTTTTCTTTATTTAATTTTTAGAAAATAGACCGTCGAAAAATCCCAAACTAATTGAAAGTCAGACAAGAGTTCACGAGCTAGAAGAAGAAGGAAATTGTATGGAAGAATAATAATGCAAAAAATCATAAAATTATATAAAAAACAAAAGCAATCAAGGAAATCTGCACAAAGGCCTTACAAGCACATATGTACATACATACCTACTTATGTCAGTTTAGATGTGCGCGCTAGAACAGCTGGCCAGCTAACTGAAGTGGCTAATTGGCTAACGGCCACAGTGATGAGCCACGAGCACAGCAACACGCGCTGACCAAGCGACGGCAGACAAAGCAATGGTTTTAATGGAAACTTTTAACGCTTGAATAATTGGCATCGCGTGCGTTTATCACAAAAAAATATTAACTTTTTTGCAAAGCGTATAAGAGAACGCTAAGAAGATAAAGTGAGTAATGAAAAAGAGTGATTAAAACGAGTGTGCTGATAAAGAGAATGATACCATATTGCAGTAAGCGGACAGGCAGATAACAACTGAATCACTGTGTTAGTGGAGTTAAAGGTGTTAGCTGAGGAGGAAGATGAAGAAGATGACTGAATTATACCATGTACCGTTCAACTGAATAATGTGGCAAGTGAAACATGGCTAAAAAAACTCATTAAAATACTAAAAAAAAAATATTTAAAAGAAATAAATAAAATACCAAAATCGTAAAAATTATTTCAAAAATTTGTTTTATACTTATAATTTTAACTAAAAGAAATAATTATTGTGTTTAACCGCTATTCAGCACTTCAGCAAAATCTTCCGCTAGTTATTTTCTAATATTTCTTATTAACACAAGTCGTTTTAATGAAAATATGCACTCATTATTAAAAAAAAATGGGCTGAAATAGCAATTCAGCAACGTCATTATCTCCGGAAAAATTAATTTTCTTAATTCAGCTATCCGAATTTCACCACTTTGAAGTAATAAATGGTGAATTACTTTTTTAGCTTCGGGAAAATTGCTTTTTCCGCCATTCAGCACTGCTATCAGCACAGAATAATTTTGCATTTTATTTTTATCAACAAATGTTTTTTAGGCTTTGTAATAATTTATTATAATAATGGAGGAAAATCTCTCATTCCGTAGCCTCGCGTAGTATTCAGCACTCTTATTTTTGTATTTCCTTTCATTTAGTAATATTTTAAAGCATATTTATTTTTATTTGTACAGTAATTGTTATGTGGTAATAACTGATTCATAAGGTATTTAGACAGCCAAATTAAAAATTTGAGTACAAATTTAATTGTTCGGTGAATAGAAAGAAATTATTTATCATGCATTCAGCAAATATTAAGAGTAGCTGAATTCCCATACTTCTATTTTTGAGTAGCATCATTTTGTTGAACAAATTTCCCAATTCAAAAAGTGAAGTGCTAATTTCAATATTACAGATAAAAGCAGAAACAACTATTTCGTAATTCAACCAAATAATTTGCAAAAAAAAAAATGCGTGATTAACAATTCACTTTTATATTCAATTTATAGAGTTGGTTTTAACACATTAAATTTTTATATAAATTGTATTTACGTATTCAGCATGACGTTTTGTTAGCTGAATTAAAATTTTCTTAGTAAAAGAACATTTTCGAGCCTAAGTCTGTTTGATATATGAAGGACTTCTATATGGAAGTACTAATTTGTGAATTCAGCAAAGAATAAAAGTAGTATATTCTTTTAAAAGTAGTATTTCAGCTATACCTAAAAGTATTCAGCCAAAAGAACTAAAGCATTAACTATAGAAAAAATTAATTTTAATTTTTCTGTGCTATCAGATTTTCTAAATTTTCGTAATGCGAGGCAATAGTATTTATTTTCTTAATAGTATGGTCTAGAATAATTACTCTTCTTTTAATTCAGCTAGATATTCAGCCGGCTGAATTTTAATACTTTTTTAATATATAGGAATAGTTAGTTTTTCCTAACTTTCTTTTAAACATATATGTTACAACAAGTTTGCTTATAAACAAAGCGCTAATTCAGCCATACATCAATGTTTTCAGCCAACGGAGTTTGAGTATTTCTTTTCTTAAGTACAGAATTGTAATATATTCTACATCAAACAATTTAAAAAATATATTTAGTTATATAAAAGTTTCTATTTCATGAATTCAGCAAAATATTTGGTGAGCTGAATTTTTATTTCTCCTTTATAAGAGAGTATTATAAAATATATCTTGTACAAAAATAAATTTGTGAACACATATATGTTACTTATATCAGAACCATGAACCAATTTAGCTAGCTGAAAATCAATTATTTCTTTCTAAAAGCGTATAGAAGTAATTCAGATAGCTGAATTTCAATTACTTCTACCAAAAAACGTATAGGAGTAATTCAGCTAGCTGAATTTCAATTATTTCTTCCTAAAAGTGTACTGTAGTAATTCAGCGGGCTGAATTTCAATTATTCCTCAGTACAAGTGAAATTTTTTTTATTTACTAAATTAATATTAATTTTAAACACAATTTTTTATGTATATTTTAAAAAAGATATAGTGTTAATTCAGCTAGCTGAATCTCAATATTTTCTTTTAACAAAAGTAATATAAAATTTATCTTAGCTTATACAGCTAAAAAATGTTGAAGTTTTCTATAGTTTTATACTACGGAAATATAAAGCTATTCAGCAAATCAAAAGGCCGGCCAATTCTACTTGCTTTAAGTCAAACGATCCCTCAAATATTTTGCTAATTATAATTTTTTTAAAGACAACACGCAAGCCACTTCAATGTTGCAGAATAAATTCTTTTAACAAATAAAAAGTGAAAAAGAAATAAAAAAATTTTTGCAACATTTATTCTTCAATTTCTTTTCTTGCCACAAATTCGTTTGTAATAAATGGCTAAGATACGCCACTGATCTAATTTCCTGCTTTTAAACTTACTTTTTTCCTATTCTTTTTCAGCTATTTGTTTGTCTGTATTGAATTGCAAGCAGTAAAAAAAAGTAAAAAAAAAGTAAAAACAATAAAAATTATAATTAGAAAATAGCGAAAAGGAAATTCTACGCCCGTTGGCATGACTGACTTGACTGAGTTATAATAAGACATCTTCAACGATTGCGTGTCTTGTTGTAGCTGTTGCTTGCAATATTTGTAGAAATAAATAATATTTTCTTCTGCTTCGCTTTGGATTGCCAATCGAAATGCAGCGAAGCATCACAGCGATTTTATTGATTTTGTGGTTATGAAAGGCGAATTCTCAATAGTTTGCTTATAATAATTTGCTACGAGCTTTATATGTTGCAAAGGAGCTGGACTATGAGAGCGCAGAGGAGTTGAGAGGAGAGCGCCCTTTCCTCTTTTTCTTCCATTGTTGTGAAAGGGAATCAGAGAGCGAAGTGCTCCCTCTACTCCTTTCTTAACTTTGGTCTTGGTTTAGCGACGACACAGAGTACATGCGACTGAAGTGAGAGGAAAATAGATTTTAAGAGATCCTTGCAATTGGAGTTGCCAAGTAAATCTCAATGTCTGCTCTTCCGTACACCTCTTTCTGTGCGTTGCGGGAAGCAAATCGTGTGGAATATTGGGCCATTGGGAGAAATCTTTAGTGGCTCACAAGCATTCACTTTTAGGATCCACTTAAGTCTTATTGAAGTATCCGTTCACCAGAGATGTGGTTGCGAGCATATAACAGACTTAATAAACAGCTGTGAGCTGAGCAGTGTTACACGTCACGGAAAAGTCAGTTTCGATGAAAAAATCGAGATGCGAAGATCACATTTTGACCTCGGCTATAATCGCTTTAGCAGAGCTTACTTCGTTTACCTCTGCAGAGCCTGACGCTTGGTCGGTGTCGCCAATATTTCAGTAAGAAAAAGTCATGGCACACAATTCAAATACGGACAAGCTCACCATTTCATCAAAGCCACCTGTTAGTTCAATCAATAGTGGTAAAGGAAGTCGAAACCTCACACCTCTTCGCATTTTTCTATGTAGGGTTAAGAAATAGAGACTTACTTCGCTGACTACCTCTGGGAGCTTAAAAATATTACAAAAAATGCTGTGACTACACAGATCCTTTGCTTATTTAGCTGAAAATATCGATCACCGTTTGATTCTGATTCCCGAGCCTCTTAATGGGTGTAAGTGCGACCTTTCCACTTATGCCGGAGCATATCCACAGCCGTGATAGGGGTAGTACTTTTAGAAACCTGTTTAGCATACCGTACCTCTTTAGTTATCGCGTTGTAAAACTAAAGTTTTAAATTGGTCTAAAGCATTCCACTTAGAGTAGAAAGCACTACGCCCCTATACGAAAATGAGATATGCCACAGACATGGAAAAAAGTCAAAACGACAGAAGATCTCGTGAAAGACGTATAATGATTTAAAAAGTCTACCTAGAGTAGCTCAATAATATTAGCAAGACTTTTTTTCACATAAATCTTATCATATATAATAGTATCAAATCAATGGCCGGTACTCACCCTTCAACAAATGCTGCAGAATATTATCCTTATGCTCCTCCGAATGTGGCTCACCCAGAATGATCAGTAAATAACAACCGGTTAGCGGGCTAGGTGGCCCAACCATGCCACCACCCAAACTCGATGGACCGCCACCGCCATCAGAGCAAGCGGTGTCGAGTGGTGGACGACCGCCCGCCTCTTCGGACGGTGGCAATGAGCTAGCGCCAGCATCAGTGCCAGCATCATCGCCGCCCATTGATGAGGTGGAAGCGGCACCGCCCAAGCCAGCAACACCACCACCGCCACTCACACCATCCATTGGCTCACCACCGGCTACCATGCTGCCGTCGCCGCCGCCAATCTCAGTCGAATCAGCCATGCCTGTTGCATTGGTATGCTCTACAGCGCCACTGGCGTTAGCACCGTTAGCGCCGCCATTCAAATGTTCTGCAATTGTGGTGCCTGTGCCATTGGTTGTTGTTGTTGCCGTGCCACCATTAGTGGCTAAACCGTTACCCTCGCCATTAGAAGCGGTGACGCTTGCGTTGTTGCCGTTACCGTTAGCCATATTGGGTTGCGGTGCGCTTTTGGTGCGGGCGTAAGTAGTTTTTGTTTTCTTTGGGTTTTCAAGCGGAGTTATGGGTTTTCGAGTTCGAAAATGTTCGTTTTTGCAGTTTTTGAGTTGGGGTTTCTAACTCTTTGCACTCAGCTGACTTAAATTGTGTAAGTTTGTTTTTTTTTTTAGATTTATTTTAAAAACCGGTTTTCGAATTCTGCACTCGCTTTCGTTAGCGTTTTTGGCTTATTTTATGTGAGAGTTTGAAGCTTTTTTACACTTTTTCTCAAATCTACTACTTAACAGGAACCTTCACTATATGCTTAACACCGAATTGTGCAGTTTTGAAAACTTTACAATATTCTACGCCTTTCACGGTTTGAGTTGAAAACTTCTTGGAAGTCTCAAAACAATATCAGTCTTTTCTTTCTTGAATTTTTCAGTTCTTATTTCTTTTTGTTAAGGTTTTAGGTTAAATGGTATGTGTCTTGGCTTGGGTTCCAGGATGCGCTAAAAAAAATCACATTCACAGAATTGCTTTAAAAATTATTTTTAATTTAATTTTTTTTTTTAATCGTTTTGAATTTTTTCCACAAATTTTGCCGGCTACTTCACGTTTTGCACTTTTCCGCAAATTCTATTTATTTATCGAATTTTTTTCGCTGCCTTCGCGTCACTGGAGTGTGTTGGCAAACGCCGCCGATGACTAACTGTAACTGTGTGGCGGCGAAATTTACCGCAAAGTTTTGACTTCGTTCGCTAAGAGATGAGCGCAAATCGCTTCTTTTTTCTTTTTTGCACTAAATTTATTTGTTGTTCTTGTTGCTGTTTTCGTTGCTTCAACTTGCTGCAACTTCAAGTGCGGCAAATGACTCCGCTTCGTCTATGCAGCTGTTGTACTTCGCACTCTTTCTCTTCTGCTTCTTGCTGTTGTTCTAGTTTTATTTATTGTTATTGTTGTTTGTTTTAATGTATGTTTGTATGTATGTGCTCTCGTCGCCACACTTCGTTTATAAATGGAAAGTGGTAAAGCGTGTGCGAGATGCAAATTCTGTTTTAGCACTTTTTTGTTGTTGTAGCGGCGCAAATGTTTTTATTATTTTTTAAATATTTAAATTGCAAGAGTTTCTGAAAGTGTAGCTTTGGTAGAATTTTTTTTTTAACTTTTCGTTGTTGCAATAATTGCAAATAAATTTTTATTTGATTATAATTTTTTTTATAATATTTTTGAGCTTTTGCAAGCTTAGATACGGAGCTTTTGTGTTTTTAATAATTTTTTATTTTTCTTTTCTTTGTGTTTCTAGTTTCTTTGCATTTTTTGTAATAATTTTTTTTTATTTTTTTTTTTTTTGTTTAGCTTTGCTTTTATTCGCAGCGATTCTTGTAAATAATTTAAATTATTTTTTTATTTATATATTTTTGCTGATATATGTATGTTGGTTTTTGTAATATTTTGTTAGTGTTTATATATGTGCAGTTTTAAGTAGTTTTTATTTTCTTTTATTTATTTTTTTCTTACTTTCAAATTACTCGCTTTTGGTTAATATCTTCAGCTGGCTTATCAAATCCACAGACTACCATAAAATCTGTAAAAAAGAAAGAAAATAATTTATTTATTTATATTTAGCTAAAATTTAATTAAATTCAAACATTTTTTTAATAATTTTTAATGTAATTCCAATAAAAATTGAATACTTCCAATTAAATTCCAAATATTTTATTTAAAAAAGTTTCGAAACATAAAATTTACATCAAACAACTGAACATACTCGTGCCTAAATAATATTCGAAAGAAAAAAATATATATATTTTATATCTAATTTCGTAAAATATCACCCCCAAAAAATATCACCCAGTTCAATTTAAGTAATAGATAATTTTTCCTATTTAGGAAACGGCCTTAAAATCAACTTAAACTTCTTCTCCTTCTTCACTGGCGTCGCTTACGCATCTATAGCCCAGTCATCGCTGTTTGACGCCAGCGAGGAATACCAAGTGAAATCAGTTCGCTCTCCAACTGATCTTTCCAACGGTAAAGAAGCCTTCATTTTCCTTTGCTTCCACCGACGATTACTGCACCGAATACTTTCAAAAACCGGGAGCAGTTTTTATCATTCGGATGACATGACCCAGCCAACGTAGCTCATTTCTCTCTTATACGCTGAACCATATCAATGTCACTCGTGCAGTACATCGTTACGTCGTTTGCGTTATTAGCCGTTTCAAAAGCGCAAAACTTTTCTCTCGAAGACTCTCAGGGCCGACTCATCGGATGTCGACATCATCTAAGCCACCATAAAGCAGGATGAGTATGATGAACGACTTGTAAAGTTTGGTTTTTATATGTCGAGAGAGGACTTTACTTTTCAATTGCCTACCCACTGCAAAGTAGCGTCTGTTGGCAAGAGTAATTCCGCGTCGGATTTCAAGGCTCAGATTATTGTTGATGCTAATGCTGGTTCTTAGATAGACAAAATTATATACGAACTCAAAATTTTGACTGTCAATAGTAATGTGGGAGACGATTCGCGAATTCCATGACTGTTTGTGTGATGACAAGAGATATTTGGTCTTGGCTTTCTCCATTACCCGACCTCTTGGTTGCGCTAAGGCCTATGATTTCCGTAACCCAAATATTTTCGTAGCCGGCGGGGTTTCGAAATGCCATTCCACACTTCTCATTTAGCGAGTTGCTAATAAGTGCTTCGGTAATTTATGTAGTAAAAAAATATTATATGTTACCTTTACAAAGCACCTGGTACTAACATTATTTTCTCTTCAGAGCTAGAAAACAGCTTAAAACTACCATCCTACTAGCTCAAAATTATCTTTTAGGCTCGTAAAATCTTCTGTGTTGCATAAATTGGTCCCCTTCACCGAAAGGTCTCTCTAGATTAAGGAATTCTATTTCATTGCCTTCCTAACCGCGTATCTAACAGGATTCTATTATCCAGATAAATGAGCAGACGCACTTCCTAGGGTGGAGTATTCTCTCACGTTATTGCTCAACAGCAGAGGCAAGTTCCCTGAAACCCTATGTGGAATATCATAATATTATATCTGGGGGAGTTCTACTATATACCGGGCACATGAGATAGAATGAAAGTACGGCTTGAAAAATGTGCCTTTAGGAAAACAATCTTTTATGCGACTACCTGCTTTGACAGTGCCAGCTTTCCAAGCTGGAAGCATATTTCTGAACATATAACGAGATTCATTAAAAAATCGAAATGGTAGCCACTACAACCTAACCCAGCCAAACTCACACCATTTTTCGGAAAAACGCCAAGATGCAAACAACCGGAGCTCGGCTGAAAATCGCTTCAGTATCTACAAAGCGTCAATTTTATTTAATTTCTAATATTTATGTGTGTGTGTGTTTGTGAATCTCCAAATGATGAGGATATTAATATCTGCCAACAACTTCTTCATTTCTTGCAAAACTTACTCTATTTCTTACTCTTTACTCACGAAAGCTATTTATAAACTTTTTACATCATTTTAATTGCGAAATTTTATGGAAGCATATTTTTTCTGTTTTCGTTTGTCATAAAGCGGACGCAATAAATGCGACGACGATAAATCTATTTTTAGGCGAAGCGTGTGCTGCGCGTGTAAACTAAGGGGAGTGAACTTGTACAGCTTATTGGAGGGTTTCAACGAAAGAGAAGCGATTGCAGAGCAAAGATGATAGGGAAACTTGAGAATATTTTGTTTAATTTAATTTACTTTTTCTTCACAAACGTATTGATTTAGAACTTACTAAACAGAAAGCAAAAAAATGGCAAAATATGAAACATGAAAAACATTAAACAACAAACATTATGCATAAGACATAAAATATAAAATATAAAATATAAAATATAAAATTTAAATATAAAATATAAAATATAAAATTAAAAANATAAAACATAAAACATAAAACATAAAACATAAAACATAAAACATAAAACATAAAACATAAAACTTAAAACATAAAACATAAAACATAAAACATAAAAAAAGCAACGGACCCATCCCATAAACAGTTCCCGTGTGTTTTTTAACTAAATAATCATTTCACTGCTGTTCAATGCGCACGACTTTTTACCGCTTCAATTGGAATCCTGTCCACTGAAATTATTTTAAACTTTAAAATTTGGTTTTCTACAAGTCTCCTTAACGACTACGTCTTTGTTCACACCATTATGTTCTTACACTTCATACCGACACAAAATGGCATTATGACCAAACATAGACAAGTAATTCGCATAAAATTTGCTGATAAATTTTATTATTATCCTGAATTTTCATATAAATGACAAATTTTTTCCTACATAAATTTACAAAATAATAAAAATTATATATATGTACTCGTACAAATGTGTGTGTGTGTGTGTGTAAATATAAAATGACATAGGCTATTAGAAAATCAGTAAGCGTTAACGAAGTGCAACAATAAAGTGTGTAGAGCAATACGAAGGATAATTTTGTCAACTAGAAAAAAAGCAACAACAAAATTTCCAAGCTCCTTTTCATGTTTCTTTTGTGCTTCGGTTTTTATTTAGCTCCTTAGCGTTAACTGCTTTTTGTGGTGACTTGACAGGCTGGCTGACGCACATTGCAAAAACTGGTGTCACACTTACAACACTACAAAGGAGAGCTTTGTTGTTCTTAATCTTCTCGTTTGTGTGTTTTGCTTTTTTGTCATATTGTCTTTTATTTTTTTCGTTTACATATTTACATAGTTGATGAGTAATCGCTTACACTAAGTCGACTAAGAGTAACAAAATTGTTAAGTAAATATGTGTTTGTTGTTGCTACTAAGAGCAAGTTATGGTAATACCGAAATTCCAGCTTTTAACGGTTAGTATTTTGTTTGTTTTAGCTGTTACGGTTATTCTAAAAATAATGAAAGTACAAGTCATCAAGGGGTAACGTTAAGAAATAACTACAGTACACTCGTATTTAATAAAAAAATACCAAATTTCATGTCCTAATTTATTTTATTTCCATTACTTTTTAGCAAAAATCTCAATACTGCACCATCGTCTACCAAAAGAAGGTATGTTACGGTATTGTGATTCTGATAATATTCGTTTTCATTTTTGCTACAAAAGACTAGAACACCTACTTTCTTGTAACTTCACAAATTTTAAAGTTTTGACTCAAAAACGAATTTTTAAAAAAAAAATTGTATGGGCGCTAGTTGTTTGAGTCAACCGATATCGCTAATTTTTATCAGCATCATTTTGCTTATAATTTGCAGCAAGTATACAAAATTGCATGCTCTTAGTGGTCTTAATGTAAAAGTTCTGACCCAAAAACACGTTTTTCAAAAATATTTTATATGGGCGCTATATGTTCAAGTGTACTGATTTCAATGAATTTCCTTTTCGACATTTAACATGTCAAATATTAGCTGAACGCCAAATTTCACAATCTTAACTTGTTAATTGTAAGAGTTTTGCACCGAAAATGCATTTTTTAAATATTGTTTATATGGTAGCTACACTTAATAATCGATCAATATCGATACATTTTTTTATAATGATTTTTCACATGATATGCATACAGAATGTGAGATTTCATACTTTTCGCTGCTAAAATGTGAGAATTACAGCTCAAAAAAGCATTTTCCAACAATCAGTTGTGTGGGCGCTATATGCTTAAGTGAAGCAATTGCAATCATTTTTATTATAAATATTTGGCTCATAATAAGTATGCATAATATAAAAATTCAACTATTTAGCTACGCAAATATGGAAGTTTTGACTCAAAAACGTATTTTCCAACAATATTTTGTATGAGCGCTATATGATCATCTCGACCGATTTCACTGAATTTCAGTACCGATATTCAACACATTATGTGTTTGAAGACTAAGTTATTTGATGTTTCTACTTGTTTTATTGTGGAAGTTTTGAGCGAAAAATGCATTTTTGAACATCGAAAAACGTCCATCGATTTTTCAATCTTACTAATTACCTTCAATTCTATTATTTTGTTGAAAATTATGAAAATTTGCATACAAATTCTCGGTCCAAAATGCATATACGTATATAAAGAGGGAGGAGACTACTAGAGACACAAATATTCTTATAACTGCATACATATATATTTTTTGGACTAAGAATAAGAGTGTATGTAAAATATTATACATACATATGCGAAAATTTATGCAAATTGTTATTTTTGTACACGCATAAGCATTTCCGCCTCACGCGACCAGCACGACCGACAGAAATGAGGAGTGGCAAGTGCTGCACTTAAGCCGGAGTGAGGGACGAGAGTCACAGCGCATTGAGTGTGACTAGAAATATTGTTGCTTATCGTTGTTGGTGCTGTTAATGATAGTGATGACGACACTGTGGCGGCGACCGCAACTACAACATACGTTCAACTGAATCTCAGCTATCGTACGTACATACACACAGTCGCAGTATCTTAATATTGTCTTGAACTATCACCGCCGCGCACCGCATGTGGGTGTCCTCCAACCGACTCATCGAATTTTCATTTTTGCGCAGCACATTTTTGTCACCGTCGCAACAGCACTCTTGCACCACTGTCATTGCCGTGTTGCGGCATGACATGCAAACAATTC